CGGTCGCTGACAGGCGCTGCTGCCTAGGGTACGCCGAGCACTGGTACGTTTTCGCCGGCGTTCGCAGGACAAAGATTCTCAACGACAAAGCAGCGCCCTGCATCATCAGCAAGTTAACACTGCTCGAGAGTCCCACGCTCACATTTTATCAGAGTGAGGCGCAGTCGTCTCTCACTTCGCGATTGCTGCGTCGTTGCTCTGACTAAACAATTGACAGTTCTCTCGAGACTTCATGAGCGTTAAATCGACGCGTCAATAGCGCGATAGAGTGTCGTGACAACAAAAAAGCTTACCCCGGCAGGGGCGTGAGCAGCGGTGCAATGTGCGTCAACGCCCATGTCGAGAACGGCGAAATATACACAAATAACAGGCGAAAAAAAAATTAATATCATTAGGCACGCGCTACCCTAGGTGCGTCCTATTATCTCTCTGTTCTGCGAATTCAACAAATCAGCAAGCGCTGTGGCTAATTTCTCTTCTTTTTCTTTAAATTATGAGACATTAAAGTCATTAGAGCTTCTTGGAGCACACATCCCCACCATGTGTCATCATGGTGCCCCGAGATTGTAATTGATGGCAGTGATATAGACTGAACTCACGGATGAAAAACGTATTACGGCACAAATTTCTTAAACCACGCAATCATAGATTCCACAACGATGCAAAGATTCCCAAAATTTAAGTTTAAAAATGCGAACCTAACAGTGTACACATAATTCAAAAGTGCTTGGTAAAAAATATATATATATATATAAATATATATTTATTTATTTATTTGTTTGTGGACATCCTGCGCAAAGAAAAAGCATTCGCCATTAATTATTCATTTTAAATTATAATGTGGGCTACAAGGCGTAAAATATGATATCTTCAAGCCTGCCTCGTTTTGGGTCACTTCTGGGAAGTGCAGGTTTAGAAAAAAGTCCAAAAGCTGGGGGGCCTTCATGGAGCTGTCCTGTTCACTCGGTAGTGACAGCAGAGTAGACGCTATGCCTGTTTGAGGCCAATCACGTCTCCGGTTAGGGTCCCGTGACAACTGTCTCGAAGCTGGTAATAACGCTGGACACGGCACCTGCCTTAAGCCCAAGGCCACACATAGCATCCACTGCACTATCAACCTTGGCTCGAACTGTCAACAGGATATAAGTGACACATTCTCTCGCTGTGTTCATTGTTGGTATGCCCCTGAAGATTAGTCTTTGTGATCGCACCCCCGTTCTGTCCTTGAAGAAGCTCTGCTTTTCAATTTTTCTGTTTTCTCTTTTTCCCTAAGCTAAAAGCATTGTAGAAGGTGCGGACTCGGCGGACCAATCAACCGTAGACTTTTTATCGCTTCACTCCGCTCTCTGTGCGCATGTAACGGAAGGAGCGTGATCACGTGGTTTGACGGATGACGCATTAGCCACTACCAATCCCGGAATGAGGCTGCTTGCGGACCTAGTTTCGCGTGTCGTGCGGCCCGCGGGGCTGCTGTGGATTTCGCTTCTATGGTAAAAGGTATCCCGATCGAAAAGTTCTACCCGTATGTCGGCAACAAGCGATTTCTTCAAAGAAGCCCAAGACATTCTTGTGATGCGTTCAGTGTTCAGTTCGGCAAATGACAGCTTGTGCTACATCGTGGTGAATCTTCACGGATCCCTTCCTTCTCGGTTTTGTGTTTGAGTGGTTGGTCTGCAGTGCCCGTGTCGACGTATATTTCGGATTACATCTTTCAAGTCCGGTATTTTGAACGTAAGTGCGCTGCAACCTACTCGGCGACAATTGACCGTTCTGTAGTGTCTATCTCCTGGCAGTGCCTATCTTCTGACAGCTGGGAGAATAATTTCCCCGTAATTCTAACGCAGTCGCCTGCCATTAGCTCTCTGAAATCATGTGAAAATTGGAGTTAGAATACTGACATTCTTATTCTCCCAGCGTTTTGTGAAAAGACGTTTCATGGACACCTTTTCGTGGAAAGACGTTTCATGGACACACGTTTAGTCGGCACTCGTTACGCGAATTGCACGCTGCAGGGACATTTCGTCGCGCCTGTATTCCTGAAGCGCGTGCTCACCGACTCATCCCACCCGTTCACGCCACTTCTTGGCAAATTATTACAAAAAAAAACAACATATTTTGAGTTGTTTATGAACGTCACGTGTTGATGAAACGATCTCGATGAAACGTCTTTTGATAAACTGATTGCAGCGCCAATGAGTGGCGACTGGCATTAGAATTTCGGGGGGAAGGGGGGGGGGGGAGAATTCGGCCGGCTGCCGGGGGACTAGACACTACCCAGGAATTGCCTTTGGTTCTTGTTTGCTTTGCAATATTCTCAGTTGTATAACAGCTCAGTAGTACCTCTTCACATAGTAGAGATTGCTTAATGTGTGCTTGTCTACAGAATAGGCTGTGTGTAATAAACTTCTGGGAGATTTGAAAACAATACCTTGTGTCTGTTTACCTGTGCTTTTGCAAACACCTGAGTGAGTGCATTTGTTTTTTGTTGTTGTTTTGTTGAAATGTAAGCTCTTTGTTTTAAATGGGGCTATGAAGTTCGGCACGTCTCACAAGGTTTTTTTTTTTAAAAATGTCCAGTGACAACAAATAATTTGTTTCACATTTCATACGATTGCGGTAAAAAGAAAAACTACAGGCAGCTTTGGCACGATGGTAAAGAGACTCATAAGACGAGCTATAGAATGAGCTATAGCGGACCATGCAAAGAGCCATAGGCGGCTAAAGAAACTATAGGAAAAGCCATAAGCAGCTATAGCACGGTGTCTAAAAAGATCCATAAAGTAAGCCATAGAGATCTCTATAGCAGACCATACAAGAAGCTATAGGCGGCCGTAGCACGATGGGTAGAAAGAACCATAGGACGAACTATAGAATGAGCTATAGCGAACCATACAAAGAGCAATAGGCGGCTAAAGAAACCACAGGAAAAGCCATAGGCAGCTATAGCACGGTGTCTAAAGCGAACCATAAAGTAAGCCAGAGAGATCTCTATAGAAGAATTTACAAGAAGCTATAGACGGCCAAAGGAACCAAAAGAGAAGCGATAGGCAGCTATAGCACGGTGTCTAAAGCGAACCATAAAGTAAGCCATAGAGATCTCTATAGAAGACCTTACAAGAAGCTATAGACGGCCAAAGGAACCAAAAGAAAAGCCATAGGCAGCTATAGCACGGTGTCTAAAGCGAACCATAAAGTAAGCCATAGAGATCTCTATAGGAGACCTTACAATAAGCTATAAACGGCCAAAGGAACCAAAAGAAAAGCCATAGGCAGCTATAGCACGGTGTCTAAAGTGAACCATAAAGTAAGCCATAGAGATCTCTATAGAAGACCTTACAAAAAGCTATAGACGGCCAAAAGAACCAAAAGAAAAGCCATAGGCAGCTATAGCACGGTGTCTAAAGCGAACCATAAAGTAAGCCATAGAGATCTCTATAGAAGATCTTACAAGAAGCTATAGACTGCCAAAGGAACCAAAAGAAAAACCATAAGCAGCTATAGCACGGTGTTTAAAGCGAACCATAAAGTAAGCCATAGAGATCTCTATAGAAGACCTTACAAGAAGCTATAGACGGCCAAAGGAACCAAAACAAAAGCCATAGGCAGCTATAGCACGGTGTCTAAAGCGAACCATAAAGTAAGCCATAGAGATCTCTATAGAAGACCTTACAAGAAGCTATAGACGGCCAAAGGAACCAAAAGAAAAGCCATAGGCAGCTATAGCACGGTGTCTAAAGCGAACCATAAAGTAAGCCATAGAGATCTCTATAGAAGACCTTACAAGAAGCTATAGACAACCGAAGGAACCAAAAGAAAAGCCATAGGCAGCTATAGCACAGTGTCTAAAGCGAACCATAAAGTAAGCCATAGAGATCTCTATAGAAGACCTTACAAGAAGCTATAGACGGCCAAAGGAACCAAAAGAAAAGCCATAGGCGGCTATAGCATCTTTTCTAAAGAGACCCATAGATTAAACCATACAAAATTCGATAGCCAAATTTCTATTGAAAAAGCTATAGACAACCATAGGGTAGAGCATAGGAAAAGCTATAGACAGCCATAGAAGCGGCTATGGCTAATTGGGCCAATTTTCTATAGCCGGCCATACAAAGGATTTTCTATAGCCGACCATAGACCATTTTTGTATGGGACATGTACCTATATTGGCGATTCATACCTCGTCAATGTGACTTAACTCAACTTTTGTACAAGAAAACTGCTTTAGCACAGTATTCTTTTTTGACTAAACAAAATGGTTTAACTATTTATTGAAAAGCGAGAAGTCATAAAAAACTGAAGCGTCAGCTGCATACCCCTCTTGAAAAATAAAATGGCACATGCACCCGAACTCTCTGATATGAAAGAGGTAGCCAAAGTGACAGGTCCAGTTTACCTCTCTTGTCCATGGTCTCGTAGTCGCACAGTGAACTAACTTGAACATACATTATTTTATTAGCTTTCAATGCATCTTGTAACCTATTAGCGAAGGTGTAAACGTTGTTGCCAGATTATTTTTGGTACTTCCTCTGGAAGACATTTGTTCGTGTTGCCTATATATATATATATATATATATATATATATATATATATAATTATTATATATATTTTATAGCAATTCACCAACTCATATGTCCTTTTCTATGCCGCAACGATGAAAAAACAATAAAACATGTCTAAACACTGCTTACGTAAATATTCATTTTGGGCATGGTGCGGATAATCTTTTCATTACAGATTGATACCGCTGTTTGAATCTGGGGCTTGTTTTGATGTGCTTCTTGAGGTGCCTCTGGCTATTGCATACACACACAAATATTTGCATGCCGTCTACACCAATCTCTATATTATGCCACTTGATCAAGCTACGCACTCTACATTGATAGCAAATACGGTGCAGATGCACATGAGCATGCGTTGTCAGTACAGATACTAATATTTGATCGCCCTTGTTATTGATGACAACAAATAGCAAGAAATCAATCAAGCGATATACCAGGCAGTCAGTCAGTCGAATGACTTTATTTTAGATAAAAACACAAATATTCAGTTCCTTTGTTAATGACGTTTCACTCGCTGACGTCTTCCAGTCTCCACTTCCCTAATCCGTCATCCATACACTTTCCAGACCTTCCTCGCGTCGCTTGTAATTTCCCTGTTCTGATGCTTCGGTACCTCTAGCTGTCATAGCATTGAGCATGGAACTCTTGTTTGACTCGCTAAGAAAAGTCCCTTTCTTTCGCCAGCAGAGTGAGAGCGTCCTTATTTCACAGCGTTCCTGGACAGCGTTCGAAAACTTCCTGTGGGCCTTCCCTTTCCCACTCACCTTCTGTTTACGGTTTCGCAGAGCGAGTGACCTTTGGGAGTGACTAGGCAGACAACTCCCATTAAATGTCTCTACTCCACAGGTGCCTGAGGAGATGGGAGCGATTACAACTTCCAGCGCTTTCACCTTTTCTTGCGCCTAAATGCTCTTCGCGATAAGATGCGTTGTGACCATAAACTGTAGATAAAGATAATTGCTATGTTCCCCTGCCAGCTCTTGTTTTCGTGTGTGAATTATCTCTAAAGCTTATAAGAATTGAGCCGATGTTTTTTGATGATTACAGAAATACCGGTACCCGTTTTAGTTATTCAAAGGTACGGAGGTAAGGTCTCACATTTATGTTTGGGCAGCAGTGGATCGGCAAGATAGAAAGGTCTCACGGCCTTTATCATGTTTGAGCATAATACAGGTATGCGATTCCATTTCAGCTACTGATAACTGCTTTGCGTTGTAATCTTGAAAACGAATTCCTGTTCTAAGCAAATTCAGCGTATTTAAAAACATTAGTGACTTTCAGTTTAGATGGTATATCGTGCTGTATCTTATAAAACTTTAGATGATATCGTTGTTGATCTCAGAGATTGTGTTAGTGTCGATCATCATCTTTTATATTTGTTTGTAAAGGCAATTTTCAGCAACAAGTAAGCAGCGTTCCGGGTGATGGTTGTAGTAGAGGTGTGCGTGGTCGGCCAGCAGGGGAAGGAGTCGTTTGGGGTGGCGTAGGTGGAAATCACCCTTTCCTGCCATTTACAGCCGGATCATATTACGGCAACTTTTCTTAAAAGGTATTACCCTCGGAGATGTGCATCACCGCTGGGGTACACAATATTTTCATCTTGAAATTCCGGCATCGTGAATTCATACTCTCGGTGTCCTCGATACCCGCAGCGATGAACGACAAGCCACCGCGATGATCGTAAGTTGAAGCTTGTGCACACGGGAGGACATCGGGTTGCCCATTATTGCTTGAGAGCACAGCGGCACGCGGATGCACATTGCCGTAATGATTCGACACGTCTTTGTAAAAAAGTCACTATTGAACACCGGTATTTTGGGGCACGCCGGGAGTTGCATCTGAGGGGACCTCGACATCGAAGCCTTTGCTGCGCGTCTTCTCATAAATTCGCAGAGAAAACCACAAAATACCGAGGACGAGGACTACAGCTCCCAAGCTACGGATCATGTTGTCATAGCTGCCGATGTTATCTCTAAAGTGACCTGCAAAGAAAGAAGAAAAAACAAATTGAAGACGTTTACAATTCTCCGTAATGCTGAATTAGAACGCAGCTCTTGAGGAGGAGTAGGGGAAAGTATGGAAACGAGGGTATTTCCCTCCTTCTCCCCCATGCTCTCTCCTCCTCCCCTTCTCCTCCTCTCTTCCTCCTACACCTCTCCTCCTCCTTCGCTTGTTCTCCTCCTCCCCCTCTTCTATCCTCCTCCTCCCTCTTCCCCCTCCCTCTCTCCCCCTCCTTCGTGACGTGACTGGTGACACTCGTGACGTCACTCGTGGAGGCCTCCTGAAGGTCCTGACCTTCACTGTGAAGATTGTGACCTTCGACGTGACCTACACAAGTGGCCTTCGTGAGTCACTCGTGACCCTCGTGACGTCACACGTGACGTCTCGTGTGACGTCATTATGACAAACGTCCCATTATGTAACGCGCGGTTACGCCGACGTCGACGGCGAAGCCGCTCAAGCTGGAAACGGGCGCCTAACAGCTGCGCTTTAAAAAGAGTTCCAGTGAATGAAAGCCTCGAGTCTGGTGTAGAAATATGTACGCCATTTTGCTCCGAGTCTGATCGCAGCGGACGCTACAATCCCATGGAACCAACCAAGCAGCATCAAAAGTGCATCGTCACGGCGCTTCACCATTTTTGTGCGTTGGGTCTCAACGAGTAAATCAATTAGGCACTGTGAAGGCGCCGCAATCCTGCGGTTTTTACAGCTTGATTAGTTTAGTCGGGGATAGCAAACCAGCGGAAAGGTTCTGCGCCATGACAATGCAGTTTTGGCGCTGCCTGATTAGCTCCATTCAGTCGTAGCGCCGGCTGCGGTCGACTCTAAGTGAGACGGTATATAAGGGTTTTGTTGTCATTCCTTGGGTTTTGAATCATTGAATTCTTAACATTACATAATAATTGAAACATTCCTATTTAAACTTCCTTTCTTAATTTTTAAGTTTGCATATAAGCTCTCAATTGCTTTCCCACTGATTAAACACAAATCTTAAAGTAAAAACTAAAAAAAAATCGTCTGGATTTATGTTACGGCAGATGGTGGCTTGCTACAAGCACTGAAGAAAATTTAAGCAAAAAAGTTTGATCATTATCTGAGGAGCTTCCCAGAAGATTTGGCTTCAAGATAAAATGTCAAATTTAAAACTAAACAAAAAAAGTTTTAAACATAATTTGTGATGCAGGAAGTGGCAGTACCATGCTCTTAGTTGTATACTTCGATACAGAAACGATAACCTCTTCAAATTTAAATTGTTGCTCTCGAGAAAGGGAATTTATTTATTTCATAGTGAAAATAAGAATACTTTGCCAATTCTTTAGCGCGCAGCTACAACTGGTAGCATGTCTGAAGATTTTCAAACCTTTTTAAGTTATAAATTGGAGTTTAGTTTTTTTTAGGGGCGAAGCTCCTTAGGGGCTAGCCATGTCCGTGTGTCCGTCCGCCGTCGGGAGCACGTGCTCCTGCTCGTGAGCTCTCATGCTCACGGGCATGTGAGCACGTGCTCACGTGCACTCGAGCTTGTGCGCATGTGCTCCCGTGCTCGTGTGGGGCAAAAAAACAACAAAAACAACCGCATCTCCACGTGGTGAATGATGTTGATTGGGGCGAAGCTCTGGTGGTGCTTGTCTGCGTAGACGCTGAGCCGCAGCATGCCAAGCCTTTCGTTCGTTTTCCTCCATGTCAGAAAGAGAATGTGTGGTATGGAACGTGGTTATATACGCGTTTGAGCATTTGACCGCAGCGTGACATTGATGAAAACGAACGAAAGGCTCGGCATACTGCGGCTCACCGTATACGCAGACAAGCACCACCAGAGCTTTGCCCCAATCAACATCATTTACCACGTGGAGATGCGGTTTTTTTTTTTTAAATTTGTGGTCTGTAATGCTTCAAAAAACAAGGTTGAATGGTTGTTAAAACATGCCAGTACGAATGGATAGTATAGATGCATCAAGAATTTTGTAGTGACTTCTCTCCCGCAAAGCACTTTAAAGAGCGAGTACATGCAATCTACGGAAGAACTCTGGAATTGACGACGCTGAAAATCCGTCTAGGCCTAGCAAGAAACAACTAACGCTATGGTAACGAGCACGATCAAACATTAAGCTCAGTGCCAGTGCGCAGACTGCTTTTGTCATGAAGGTAGGAACACTCTCAGAAAAAAGGTGTATTATTACACCCCTTGTCCCATATAATACACCCCAAAACTTCAATTCGACGTACAGCGCCCCATAATCGAACAGGCGGCCCCAAAGTTTACGAGGGGGCTTGATAGCCGTGTGGTACAACTCATTAAGATAGCTGATGTACGTATTATTGACTACAAGAAAGATTATCGGAGTTTTCTTGGCCCTACTGCAAAAACTTCATGTTTTCTTTGGTCTTTGATACGTACTTTAGCACTTTAATAAGTTATATCGTACCGTTATCAAGCCCCTCGTAAAATTTCTGGCCGTCTGTTCGACTATAGGGCGATGCACGTCGAAATGAAGTTTTGGGGTGTATTATATGGGACAAAAGGGTGTAAGGTGATACCCTTTTTTTTTTTGAGGGAAGCCTCTGGAGATGACATGACGCTACCAGAAGCTTCCTACCTACACGATTTTTGTATGCTCGAACCTGTTATTAGCCTCGTCATTCGCCGATCTCTTTGCCTAGATTGCAGCGACTGGTTTTTTCAGATGCTTTGTGGGAGAGTGGTCGCTCCCAATTGTTCACAGAGCACCCGCGGTGCCCAATGAGAGGCTCACCTATCAGAAAGGGCCTTGAGAATGCAGTGAGACCCGCCACAAAGGATATACAACCAATGGCGGTTGGAATGCGCTCGACGCCGACAGCGTCACCGAGGACGACATTGAAGAGCACCACGGTGTTGCCGATTGCGTAGCCCACTAGGATGGACATGAACATGATGCCTTCGTATGTAGAAAAAAATGGCAGAACCTAGAAAAAAAAGCGACGCAGTCACGCATAAGCGATCTGTTCGCGTGATTTCGACAAGCAAAACAATAGACGATTACGTATATAAACAAATGCTGTAGCCCTGATCGGTTAGTAGGTGTAGCGGCATTTTTAACTAAATATTAAAGGTGCATAGAATGGAAATGTGTGATCATGGAGCAAAAAGAGTGCATACCACACAATTTATGAACGGGATGTTTCTACTCCACGCGTACACCGTTTCAGGTTCTTGTTTATGAATAACCTCCACAAGAAGACAGGAGTCATGCCGGCACGTAGCCAGGGGGCGGGGGCCCATGGGGCCCGGTCCCCCTCCCCCCCCCCCCCCCCTCCGAAATTTTCCATTTTGCTGGGACGTCCTCTGCCCCTCCCCCTCATACAGCATTTTGTCATGGGCAGGCCCCCTCCCGAAACAAAATCCTGGCTACGTGCCTGAGTCATAGGCATTTACAATTGGACGATTCGCTCGTATCATTGGTGGCCACATGATCATGTATTCATTAATAATGTGAGATATAATTGGGATGATGAAACTAACACTCTGGTTTAGGTGTTCCGACTACACTGCCCTGGCCGCTACCACCGCCCCATATTTTGATGGTCGTTGATTCGGCCGCGGTTTAAAAGACGGTTTAAGTAACAATCTTTGTGTCTTGAATGTTAACGCCAGAAGTTTAGTAAATAAGTTTCATGTTTTCTGTAACTAATTTCTTCCCACTTTGCTCACATTATTGGAGTCACTGAAACATGGTTACATGATGGCATATATGACACCGAAATTACACCCTCTGGTTTCTGCGTGGTTAGAGGTGACAGGAAGTACGGCGTGGGCGGCGGCGTCTCACTTTTTTTAAAGTCCAATATTAAATTACAGTAATACAGGATCCACCCAAGATTGAATCAGTGTGGTGCAGGCTTATGTGGAAAATAGATCTTTAGTTGCTGGCGTTGTCTACGGCCCTCCCAGCTCTCCCATTGATGAGTTACACGCTTTATGTGACTTTATGCACGAGAATAACCTGTCTTCTTCCAATTTATTATTAATGGGTGATTTTAATTTACTTGACATGCAGTGGTCGCCCTCTTCGTTATTTGGTCCTGACGTTCAAATATGTAGAGAGTTATTGCACTTCTCGTTGTCATTTAGTTTAAAGCAGATTGGTCAGGAGAGCACGAGAGTGTCGTCAGTTGTAGATTTCGTCCTTCTTAGTATACCTCTTCTAGAAAACCGTTTGGAGTGTGAAGTCGTTGACGGTATATCAGACCATTAACAAGCTTTGTTTCTGTCGCTTATTCTGTCCCTAAAACACGTTTTGTTTACCACACTTTTCCTGATTTTAACCGTGCCGATGAGGTGTCTATAATTGACTCATTAAGATATTCCTTTGAAGTGTTTTGAACAACTTAGTATTTCCAGTGACATGAATGTACTCGTTGCATTTTTTTGAAGGCTTGGTTACATCGTGTATCAAGCGATTTGTGCCACTCAAAGCTGAAAACAAATAACATTGTAACTCTTTGGATAACAAGGGAAATATTGAGTTTATCGCGACGTGTCGGCAAACTGCGGCGTGGAAAACGTTGTGCTGACCCGGTAAAGACTGCTCAGTTTATTCAAGCTAAAAAGTTAAAACTAATTCCGCGAAAAACTTCTATTTCCGTGTTATATTGCAAAACTTAATAAAAAGCACCCTTCGAAAATTCTTGAAATCTATTTTACCAGGCAGTAGGACTGACTTCAAACTCGTTTATAATTAACGACGTAAGTATTATGAACGCGCTGACAATCGCTACGGCGTTCAATACATATTTTCTGTCAGTATTTACAGTTGATAGTTTTGAAATTCCTCCTTTTACTCATGTTTCGCAGTCTGCGCTCGACATAGATGTGAACGTTCGGGGTGTATTAAACCTGATTTTGAAGTTAGATACTAAAAAAGTCCTGGTCCTGATGACATTCCTAGTTCATTTATTGTCCGGTACTCCCTTTGGTGCAGTCGGTATCTCACGGTTATTTTTCAGAAATCACTGTCAACGGCCACAGTTTCTTTATCTTGGAAACTCGCAAAAATCATTCCCGTATACAAATCTGGCAACTCACAATCACTGTCAAACTACAGACCAATTTCTATAATGTCAAATTTATGCAAAGTTTTGAAACATATTGTCTACAGACATGTTAGGGAGTTTCTCGAAACGAACAATACTTTATGCGATTTTCAACATGGCTTTCTACGCGGTTATAGCACTACAACATAACTAACAGAATTTGTTCATGATCTCGGTCAGTGTCTTGATATCGGTAATCAAGTTGATGCGATATTTATATATTTGTCAAAGGCTTTTGACACAGTTCCTCAATCTAAACTTCTACACATGCTTAACCTAACTCTCAATAATCATCACCTGGTCAACTCTATATCCAGTTTTCTTTCTCGTCGGTAACAGTTTGTCTACTTTAACTCATCCAAATCTAGTACAGCTGATGTATCATCAGCTGTTCCACAAGGACCAGTTCTTGGACCGCTACTCTTCTTGTTATACATCAATGATTCGCCACGCTATATTTCCAGTAAGATACGACTTTACGCTGACGACTGCGTACTATATTACGTGATAAACTCCTCCGATGACCATAAATATTTTAAAAATTATTTTGTGAATTTTTGTACGTGGTGTAATACGTGGCAAATGAACCTAAACTTTCGTAAAATCGTTTTTATGACCCATTCTAGGCGTTCATCACCTTCTGGGTTTAATTATTCATTTGACGGGTTATGCCAGAAATAGTTTTCGAATATAAATATCTTGGCCTCCTTTTCATGCCAGATTTATCTTGGTCTAATTACATTAATACGACATGTAACAAATCTCTTAAAAAGCTTGGATACCTGCGCCGTACCTTACGTGTGGCACCTCAAGGTACTAAGCTTCTGACATCTAAAACTTTCGGATTCGCCCAATCCTCGAATATGGTTCTACTATTTGGTTTCCCTACAAACAGTCCGATATAAATAAAGTCAAATCAGTTTAAAAAAATGTGTACGTTTTATTTGTCGTCGGTATGACAGAAACTTTTCTCCTTCTTGTAACCTTTCCGTGTTTGGCCTAAGACTTCTTTCTGAGCGTCGTGGTATTCAGCGCCTGAAGTCTTTGTATTTCATGATTAACTCATCACGTTTTGACTCTTCTTCTCAAGCCTACTGCGACCCGGAGGCACCAAGAATTAAACATTTTACCTTTTCATCCTCGTACTGATACGCTTAAATACAGTTTTTTTCCTCACACCATTGAACGCTGGAATCTGTTACCAGGAAACATCCGGTCACTAAAACCAAATGAATTTTTGTGTGCCGTTGACAGTGGTCCGTAGTGATGTCTGGACCGTCTCTGTATAACTCCCACTCCTGCCGTAGCCCCACTGGGGCTGCTATATGTATAAATGAAAAAAAAAGCATGCTGTTTATGCTGTACCGGTACTGATCTCAAAGACACTACACACGAGAAGGGGGAGGAAAGTCGGGGGAGGATATTTAGAAAGAGAGGGAGGGAGAGAGAGAGAGAGGTGTGCCGAAGAAGAAAGGGCTCTAGGGGTGAGGAGGAAAGTCGGGGAGGTCCCCCAGGGATTTGTTGTGCGTACTTTTTGTGGGGATCGAGGTCTTTTCCCCGAAATGGTCCAGGCAGAAAATGCCCAATGCCTTAGAGGACTTGGAGATGGGATAGGGTTTGTTTCTTTTGAGTTGCCTGCAACAATAAACATTTAAGCAGACTACAATAAACATTTCAGCGCCTTACGTTTATGGTTTTGATTCCGTATATCTGCTTTCTTAGCATTTTGAATATGGGGTTGTTTCGTTATTTCATTTCTCAACGTGATTTATTTTTTCGTCGGGATTGGGTAAATCCAGAGTACAAATTTATTTCCCAGACATCCTTAAGCCCATCTAAATCTGCTATAACGTCCAGAACACTGGAAAGATGATATCGCATCCCAATTTGTTTGTTAATCAGTAACAATAAGCGACCAGCGTTTAGTCGAACATTTATTTGTTTGTCATGAAGTGAAGGTCTCCGCTTTACGAGTCAGCAAAGTACCCGCAACAAATCTCCAGGAGACCTCCCCGACCGCAACGTGATTTCCTCTTTCCTCCTTCCTCTCGAGAGTAGGTTGACACCTCTGAGACCAGTATCCGCGTTAAGTTACCTTTGTATAATTGTCACTAATTCACGTTTATTTTATGGTAACATCTTTGTGTACATGAAAGAGAACGGCGCCTTTCTTCCCATGTTGGGTGAATTAAAGAAAGTTGTCACAAAAAGGAATTGCTCACCTGCATGCACAAGCCGAAAGCCGAGCAAGACAGTCCTAGGATGGTCTTGTTCTCGAGGATTCCCTTGTCAGACACCCAGCCGACACTCAGTCGTCCCACAATGTCCGAAGTCGCGAAGCCCGAAAGCAAATAGACAGCTTTGTCCAGTGGCACGTGTCTGTCTTGCGCGAAGTCCATTAGCACCGTCATGAAAGCCATGTTGCTGTAGGTCACGAACACGTAAGTGAGCCCCATTAACAAGGACACCCGATTCACAAGCTTCTTCTTTGTGACTTCGACGTGCTGGTACGTTGCAATCGATACATGATCTTCCTCGATGTCGTCTAGTTCCGGAATGGTATTGATGGCGTTGCTGTGTGCGGTTGGCTCATATATGCAGTAGAAGTTGGAAAGAGACGAACGTGTCGATGACTGTCGTCGTAAACTTCCTCTGTGATGCGAATGGTCTTCCGGGGCCTGAGAACCTTCGCTGGTGCGGTGCTGTCGCGGCCAGACGGCCGTGGATTCGCCGGACGCAACACTGTCCGACCTCGGTTTGTTACTACCGTCGGTCGCACGTGGTTCGGGCGGTTGCTGACTTATACTCCTCTGAAAGTTTCTTTTTGGAAGCTGATATTGGGAAGCAACCAATTCAGTGCCATCTGCTCGGCCCGAGATCATCGTCTCTCTTGTGGAGTTTGGGGTTTCTTCGCGAATTCCATTCTGCAAGCGTAAAAGAGTGCCATGTTAAAACACCATCCGGCAACTTCAAATGCCCACATGAGTAAAGCAAAAAAAATGCCATGGAGACGTCCCAAATACTTTCCAAGGAGGTGAACCTCCTAAGGTTTAAGGCGCAGACCTTGAGGTTGGGGGGGTTGACGCGGTAGTCAGAAAAAATAAGTTTTGGAACAAATTATTTTTTTAAAACTTAGGGGTATGCATTGTCAGTTTTCACAGTGCAATGGGAAGCCAAATTATACTGCCGCTTTTTACAGTGTTGAAGCTAGAGTTGACACTGCGCTATTAAATTCAAAGTGGTATTCGCAGGCGCCCACTTAAAACAAAATAACGCAATACGGACGCCAGTATTGTAGAGATCTATTATACCACATTGAGGTCACCTGTATGCTGATATCCTTCGACGTGCCATTACTTTGTGGTATGACAGGAAACATTGCGTCAGTGGACGGTCCTGCCAAGAGCTTCAGATCTGGCACGAATCCCTTGTTTTCCTGGGGGCCTCCGTTGGACAATATCTGTTTTTGCTTCTCCACCCGCTTGGCTTTGAGCTTGGCTTTTCTTGCCTTGACCCTCCATGGAGGGGAGCGGATGAAGAAGGAAAAGGCCACGGCGTTCATCATGAGGGCCCCGAAAATGAGGAAGCATCCTCGGATGCCGAAGACGTCGTTGCAGTACTTGAAAAGCACGGGAAACACAAAAGAACCCAGACAGGCTCCCGTGTATATGATGCCGCTCGCTCGGACCTTCATGCGGTCGAACCATTCGTTGAGGCAGACGGCGTTGGGTGTGATGGTCATCCCGGAACCTATACCTAATGGCGAGGGGGAGGGGGGGGGGGGGAGGGGAGGGCGGAGGAGAGATGAGGTGTCAAAAGCACAAAAAAAACACGCCGAAGACACTTAAAGGGTACCTCCGCCGGATTTTTGAGCTACCTAATCAAAGGGCATCATCTGAATGCGGATGAGTTCCTGATTCCGAAATGTTTTTTCATTCCCCGAGATTCTTTCTAGTTAGTTAAAAAAGAAGTGATGTTTTGTCCGCTACCGAAACCAAAACATCGTTCTCCTCAGTTTTCCCCCGGTTTTCTCCGTCATCTAAACGTGACGTCACCGGCGGGCAGCGGGGCGCGCCCCTCACTCGGTTACGCTCGCGCCCGCCTTTCTCGCGTCAAACAGTGAGAAAACCTACGCGTTTCTGGTATCTAAAGTTGATAATAATCTCTATTTGAGCAAAAGGCATGACCTTGGCCTAATTCTGAACTCTAAGAAAGTAAAAAAAAAAAATAAAGGAAAGGGTTTTTTGAGAAAACTGTTTATGCAACTTGGTATACGCTCGAATCCCGGAGAAAAGCTCACCGGAGAAAAGCTCACCGGAGAAAAGCTCACCGGAGATAAGCTCACCGGAGAAAAGCTCACCGCGAAACCGGCGGATGCGGAGAAAAGCTCACCGGCCATTGAGCGTATGCGGAAGAAAGCTCACCGATATTTTTTCTTCGTTTTATATGGTGGCTCTGTGATTATGCGTAACATATATCAATTTATTGTAATTAAAATTCGTCAGCTATGTAAAAAAGAAAATGTAATTTTCTATATTTGTTAAACTTTTTGGGTATACTGCTCCCAAATTAATAATTGTGGGCGAGTGTTTTCTGTGGCTTATTTTCTTGGCAACTAAAGCCTAACTGGAAGCTTTATAAACTTGAAGAACAGGAAAAAGTTCGAAAACTTAATAAAGTCTGTCTAAGGCCTAAAAATCAAAACTGTAGATGCCCAAAATTCGAAAGTGCATGCGGAACAACACTGTGCCTGAAATTCTCTTTAAGCTTTTGTTAACGTTTGAAAACAGCATAAAACAGTCAGTAGGATATCGAGGCTTCTTTCTTCCACGGACAAGCACGTTTTCCAGCCGTTCGTGCTGGTGTTTCCACACGTTGCGTTTGTGTAATAGTGCCCTTCTACAGCGAACCACCCATGACCTTCAGAGCTGCACACTGGCACTGTTGTTACTCGTGACCTATATAAAATGTAGTCTTCTGTAATATAGCGAATAGGGCGAGTTGGTAAGCGTTATATATGATGAAAACGGCTCAAACGACGACGACGGAGTGAGGACAACAAACATGACAAGACGAAGCTGTTCTCGAAACTAAAGGTTTGTTAGTCAAATTAACAGGAAGAGAACAGCGTAGCCACCACTGACTACATCAACAAACGCCTACTTATATATTAGGTACCGCACAATATTTGGAGCTGAAACGTTTCACACACCGCTATTCATATTAGCTCGCAAAAAACGAACCTCTTCATCTGGCAGAGCTACCGACGGCGCACCCTCAGCTGTCAATAAATTGTCGTCTCTTTCACCGGTGTACGATGTTCTGATTATATACTTGCGGCTTCATTAATATACAGAATGGGAGATTACTAATTTAAGAGGAATTGGTAAATATGCACAATGAACTTCAAGAATATTACAAAAGAGATGATTTATTTTTAATCATGATGAATGCGAATCGTGTTAAATTGCCACGTTTGACGCAGAATCCGCTAAGTTAAAAAGGAAAAAAAAATGGTGAGCTTTTCTCCGCATATGCCGGTTTTGTGTTGAGCTTTTCTCTGGTGAGCTTATCTCCGGTGAGCTTTTCTCCGGTGAGCTTTTCTCCGGTGAGTTTTTCTCCGCCGCCCATACGCTCAAGCCACGGCTCCCAAGTTTCGTAAAATCGCTAGCAAATCCGTTCTACTTTTATCAGAAGCTGACAGCTATGCTGACGAAGAAAGGTCGAAGATTCACGCGACACATTTTTTGACAAATTACCCAAACACCAAGGAGAATGCTCGGAATGTGGGCACATGTGCCCCACGCGCTCGCCTTATCTGAAGGAACGCGTCATTTGTATTATACTTTCTTTAGAAAAGTTACTGTTGAAGACGCGAGCACGTGTAACAACTCTTGTAGCATGCATATGCTCCATGCTGCGTAAGTAATTTAGCAAAATTCCTATAGACCATTTCAAAAAAGCCCTTCTCTGGTCGATACCATTTTCAGCGTACGTGCGTGTGGCGCGTACATTGCTCGACTTCCAAAGCACCAAACATCCGCGTGCTAGACTGTGCCCACCCGTGCCACAAGCGCAACTCGAATGCCATTTACAACGAATGACATTTGTGTGATCGGCGAATCAGCTCGCAATCTGTCGCGCGCTGATTGACCGTCCGCTCAAATGTCATTCGTTGTAAATGGCATCTGAGTTGCCCACGTGGCACGAGTATAACAAATGTAGACTGTGATTCTCGTGAATATTGAAATGCATAGACTGAAATGAAAGGCATTCGAGTAGGACTGATGGAAGGTTCCTGTTTATGAAGATCGCGCTAAAATGGAGACTAAAAGAACTCCGCAGCCACCAAGGCAAACATCAAGGTGCAGTGAAAGGCGTATAAAATACACGAATACACTATTCATTTTCAAATAAAGAATATTTGCTTGAAAATACAGTAACACGTGAATAACGAAAATATACCATAAAATGTTTACTTAAAAATAAAATAGTAAAATTTTCCCAAAGAAAACTTTGTACTGATAATTTTCATTTTTTTTTTCCTTTCAGAGTAGAATGCAACGCGCTCAAACACTCTTCACGAGTGCACATGGGAAGAGAATAATTCTGTATACAAATTTTTTATAATTTAAATTTTGTTTGGCACAGCCTCCATCAGCTCTATATTTACATGCCTCCTCTCAACCACATAAACATTTTAAAGTCTGAAAGTATTTTCAGCCTTATATAACGTTTCTCCGCAGTATAATAAAGACGTTTTCCCACGTCTTCTGCGAGAGAATATTGCGCGTTAACCATATCCAAATCCAGGCAACGGCTCTATTTTATATTAATGGAGCTCAACACCTGCTCCCTAAACCTCTGTAATACCAGACACGAAAAGCAATGTGCCGAAATTCACATCTATACCTCAGACTTGAACTTTGCTTAGACGTCTCACCTCTCGTCTTCAACAGATGGGCCGCGTGAGTGGAACTCCGAGAGTAGCCAGAGCTACGTTCTATGTCTAAAACGGATATGTTGTTTATAATAAAAAAAAAAAAAAAAATCTTGAAGCTATTGTGAGCAACAAATGTGACTACGCCAAATGTCCACCATAGTGCTAGAATGCGCACCATTTCTATCAATACTATTAGTGCTTCTCTTTGGACGGATGTCGTAGTGATCATAGCCGACTTGAGTCTGCGCTTGCCGCTCCTGAAGCTGTTCCAGCTGCTGAAGGATACTCAACTCGCGGCACGCGGCTATAAAGTATTCCGAGCAAAAATGAGAACGTCTTATGTGACACCAGATCTCTCGGCGCACAGCTCGCGCAAATGAACCTTGACGTGGCTCAACCCTCTGCTGCCGGGGAATGCATTTTCCCCCCATATAAACAAGAGTAAATAAGAAGCTTTTCCCCGCGTTGTTCCTACAGTCTCTCGCGGAGCGCGAACTGTTACCCATTGCAAAAAAAAGTTCAACCTTGAAGCTGTGAAAGATAATCTCTATCGCTGGAGCCCGGAAAGCCGCTTCGCGTCTGCCCGGGTCGCTCGTCCGCCTGCCCGCCGGTGACGTACAGGGGCGGTGAACAGTTGGGAATTTTCATTGTTGACAGTAGAGAGTCGCCTCCTGAAACCCTCGCGACCGGTGTAACTTCAAGATTCAATAAATTTATGGAAAATTTGTCCTTTGATATATAATGTGGGCTACCAGTTGAGAAAGGGTTATTGACGTGGTATGCAAATTTTCAGTCAAATCGAAGACTATCCGAAATTCGACGGAGTTCACCTTTAGGGCTGCCTACGCGTAACAGTGCGAAGGCATTCCTACACGAAGCGCATTCGTACAGGCAGCTTGCCACGTCTTCCTTTTGCACACGGCACTCTGGCGGTGACATCCCGCTCCCCCCTGCGCAGGTGCAGCTTAAGAAACTTTCAAATATAAAGAACTCACACAAAATACCATGAAGACGCACTTGCACCGTGCTCGTTTTCTTATTTTGTTTTCCTTTGTTTTTTATCCACGAATGGGTCGGTGCAGCGTCGTCAGTGTGAGTGACGACTCTGGTTCCGAGTTCTTGCGATTCAGTTACTGGCCGTCACCTTAGGGCTACGCAGTTGAGCGGCAGACGCGAGCAACTAAGCGGATTGAGGTTCTTACCATGGAAGACTCCCAGGAACACCGAAAGGTACAGGATGTTGGGAGCAAAAAAGCAGAGCATGATCGACAGCGACATCATAAAGGTGCCGATGATAGCCACCGGGCGGACGCCGACTTTTCTGACGATCACGGCAACGAAGGGACCTAAAGTCGGAAAACGAAAAGAAATTTGTTGGATTAGTCACAGGTCACAATAATCTATTATATCAAAAATAAAAGTGCTGAAATGAGTCCAGTAGCGTGCCTCAGGTTTATACATAAAGGATCTTAAAAAATGTTCTAGTTTAAAATAAAAGTACTCAAAATTGCTTGGCAATTTTATTCTCGCCTCTCCAAATTGTGAAAAAAAAACGACACAACACCTCACTTTTATAAACACAAAAAGTGTTACGTCGGCCAGTTTTCTCATGTTTTTTTTTTTTTTTTTTTTTCATTGCGTAATTTGAAGATCGGTTTCCACGTTTACGTTTGAGGGTAACAGACAGCGTCGGAAACGCTTGTAAGCGCTTTCGACGAGGAAATACACTGACGCACATGCGCCATCTCTCAGGCAATCTTAAAACCCTTGAAATTTTCGTATAGCTAAACCGAGACTATGTGAGTATTGGCGATATCATATTTACGCATTACCTATGACCAATGGTCGCTCAAAACATTGCCATCCTTATTTCAAACACACAATGAAATTATACTGCTAAACGCAAAGGTAAATGCGTGAAGAAATCTTGATGACTCCCGTTGACGCGCTTTCCAATTAAGTCACTGTGGCTTATCGCTTAATACATTAGCCTCTTAAAGGACACATGCAAAGGAAAAAAACATTTTTTTTAGACAGCTTAGATGGAAAAAGGATGTCATAAAACGATTTTACAACGAAGAAAAAAAATTTTTAGAGCTATATTTACGGCGCTATACGAATTTGTAGTTGGCGCTCGCGGGAGCCGCCGCTGGTCACGTGGTAGGCCCGCGTGCCGCCGCGCTGCGTCGCCGCCGCAAGCTGAGCGTTGTGCGAACGCCGCTTCAACGCGTTTCTCCACGCCGCCGTCGCCGCCGCCGCACAAGTTCGTCTGATTCGGGGCGCCGCCGCCGTCGTCTGGCCGGCGCACAGGTCTATCACGTCTGCTTGCGCTTTTTCAGGAGTTTCCTTTGGGCTCTAAAAGTTATTTATTCACCTTAGTTTTTTGTTATACTTCAAACAAAGATGAATAAGTTACTTTTAGAGGCCATAGGAAGCTTCCGAAAGAACGCAAGCACCACGTGATAAATAAAGACCAGTCACGTGATAAATACAGACCACTTTTCCGCGGTGCCCGCGGGCGCCAACTACAAATTCGTTTTGCGCCGTAAATATAGCTCTAAAAATTTTTTTTCTTCGTTGTAAAATCGTTTTATGGCGTCCTTTTTCCATCTAAGCCGTTTAAAAAAAAATGTTTTTTTCCTTTGCATGTGTCCTTTAAAGCAAAAACAGAAGGTGTGAGTGTGCTCCGAGAGAGGTTTTCGAAACGTCTATATTCGACCTGGAAGGTATTGTGGAGCTTTATGAAAAATAAAACACAAACGTGCGTAAAAAAGAAACACTAAAAAAAAAAAAAGTAAACACAGTTCAACTGGTACCCCCATGAGAGGCCAAAGTAGTTTTCTGACGCGAAATTGTCAAATCTTTGAGTTTGGTTCTCGCTGTTTTGTTTAGGCTCAAAGGCTCTACTGGCAACACTGAAAGCGAAAACGTTTTATGGCGTCAAATGAGTGCTGGGGTAGCACACTTGAAGAGGATGGAACAAGATGCGCGACACGCTATGTCTCTTAAACGGCCTGCTCGATCTGCAAGTTTTACATGTGACGTCACCCCACTAGAAAGCGCGGAAAAATTTGAATGTTGGTATGGCATCACCTTAATTTGTCGTTTTGTCAATACCTATTTTCAATCTAAATGCTGGGGAGTAGAAATCCCGGGTATTCCGAAAATGCAGTCAGTTCGGGTAGCTGAAACGGCCACCTTTAACCGTCATAAATTCTTCAGATGGAGTACAAAATACAGTTCCACTTTATTTGTATTTCGCTGCGGGTCGTCATTTTCAATATGTATTTACTCTTTAGAGACATAGGGCATTTCGTCATTGAAAAATTCGTCGCGGTGACAGTTTTTCTGACTATTGAAAGAACTTTGTTTTACGGTGCCATTTGTCTAGTGCTCGGCAGATATGTCCCAAATCAAATCAGGCTCGATAGACACAAATAATTGTAGTCTCTTAGAATAGCTGGTTGAATCGCTGTTACTTTGTCAAAACACGCTCTCTGGTTTCCCGGGACTCCAACACAATCCGGGTACGAGTGGTCTTGCTAACTAATCGAACGACAGCAGCAAATATGCAATGTCGTCAAAATGAATTTATTTAGAAATGGTCAGTCTACCCTATAGATGCATCTACGCATAGCGCCGTAGAGTCGAAAGCAGTAAGTGCTGGGCTTTCAAGCGCGCTATGGCACCGACAAGGAGTTTGCAGTCAATGATTTTTTTTTAAACATATCATTTTTTATACTTTTTTTACTATCGTGCCTTTTTTTTTTCTTTTGTAATCTAAGTAAGACACATTTTTCATCCTAGACAAAGATGCTTCCGGCACTGGCATTTCTTCTTGACGATAACATTTCCGAAGCTAAGATTACAAGGTTTTCTGGAAGTCTTCTGTTCCGGAGGCGATCGTGGTGTGACTGGTGTCTGACTGCTTTGAGGACACGTACAGTCTTTTTCAAAAGTTTAGAGCCCACCGCGCTCGCGGCTGGAGCGCTGCGAAACTTTGGAGAACGAAGGGAAACTTGGCTTTCGCGTCGCGCTCGCCTTGGTAACAAAGTGGCACAAAATAGCGAGATCCCCTTCGCTCTAAAAATCTCGCAGCCAGCGAGCGCCGACGAAAAGAGCGCCGCCACACGGGAGTGAACCCGCTTTGGCGACGAGCGTGGTGGGCTTTAAAGGAGCTGTGCAACGATTTTAACGTTGAAGGAATTGGCATTTTCTGCTTTTGATATTGTTCACTGTGTCACAAATGGCAGAAAACACACCTCTTTTCATCGCAATGTTGCGATTCCGCCGCGTAATAGCGAGGCAAAACTTGGAATATTTCCCGACCTGCAGCCACGAGCGGCGGCCATGAGAAACAAGCGGCGTGACGTCACTTGGGTCGTTGTAAGAAAGATAGCAAGTTGTGCGAATACCTGCTCGATAAAAGGTAACTCTTTTTACAAATCTTGTCGTTCCAACATATATATAAATGCGTCAACACCCTGGTATCATCGACAAAACTTTTATTATACGGAGTTTTAGTGGCGCCATCTATCCTAGGTCCACAAAACCGCGAACAGCCGCCAGAAGCCGGAGGGGGAGGGGGACAGCGCCACACTGGCAAGGACGGGTGGTCACGCGGTCGGCAGCGGATGAGTTCTCGCTGCTCGCTGATGGCTCTAAAGAGAGAACTTTTCCGGAACTCCGCGCCTACTCTAGTGACGTCACTGTGCACGTGACCCGGAAGACGATGCACGAGTTGAGAGGCGGCAAAAACCTGGATCTTTTTCATTTTTTTAAGTAAAAACTAGGGTATCCAGGCAAAATCTGTTTTCTGTAGTTCACTGCAGAAGTGTCAGGCATCAACTTCCACAATTATTTAAGCAAAGCCCTGAAATTGTTGCACAGCTCCTTTAAACTTGTGAAAAAGACTGTGCACCGGATGACCGCGTCGGAATTCCGCCTGCACGGCACGGTTTCATCTCAAACTGTGGTCTGTCTACGAGTCGACGCTTGACGGATTTTCGCGAACGTACAACAGTGTGGAGGCATGGCACAATGGGCCGCACGTAATTCTTGATATGTAAGTGTTTTTGTTTACTCCAATTCGTGCGTTTACACTCAAGTGATGATCATTTAATGGCCATAATATTCTTTTGGAGAGAAACGTCAGTTGTGCATCACCGAATATCTGGAGGTTCCTGGAGTCGCTCAAGAAAGAGTGGGCACTGGCCGATATGAATTTAAGAGCTGCAAGCAGAGTCGTCTCGACAAGAGTGTCGAAGAAGCTAGAAGCAAGGGACAAGCACCTTCGAGTTACTCTTTGACGCTGCGATGAAACCGACAGCACAGACACCCTCGAGGCGTGCGCCCGAAGCACACCTCGAGGCGTGCGCCCGAAGCATTTTACTATGAGTATTCGCGACTCCAGCGACCTATAGGGGGCGCCACCACCAAACGAACATGGCGGCTGAGTCCAGGTCGCGTCGGCTCGGCCGGGCCGCCTCAATGGGTGGCGCATTCAATTTAACAAATTTTATTTTGTTGAATGCCCAATTTTATGGGTATTTGAACTGAGACAGTTAAGTGTAACCGGTGCGCATAAACTCGCCGGGCATATTTTTGTTTTGCCGGTGTTTTTTTGTTCTTTTCATGTCAAACTTTCGTTTCGGAGACCTCGATCAAAACCGAAACTATGGGCTCCGGAGAAACGGTAATAGACTCTAATTAGTTTTGATCATCTAAATAAAGCGGCGAGGGCTACAAAATTGTTCCACCGAGAGTAATTTTTAGCTAACCCGCATGCCTCGACCATGCGACTCATCTGTCCGCGAAATTGAGCTTTTGTGCCTGTCCGCTCCAGTCGTGTGCTCGGTCAAGAACACAGGCTGCAGGAAAATTACGAAAATTAAGCAAGCGCTTCTTGAGCCAAGGAGCATGTTAACCCGCTGGCGCCCCACTAAGCAGCTGATACTCGTATTTCAATTCAGGTTTTTGTAGCAATCGAGAAGTCATTTTGACGAGCGGATTATGTATTATATTACCTACTATGTCCCACTAAAGCGATATTAGTATATTATTCGGGTTGAGATGTGAACTTAGTTGACTAACTATTAGGTGAACTGCTGAATAAAAGGATATTTGACAGACTGAGGGATACTACTTAAACTTAGCCAAATGGTTCTAGCCGGTAGAACGGAGACGAATGCGGACAAACTGAGGAGAGTCTTCATCGGAGATTCACTCAGACCTCTCTGCATTGAACTTGACTTCGAATCCTGAACGGATAAAATGAGTATTTTTTTGTGGCCGGTCAGCCTGAGCAATGTAGACGTATATTGCTGCTGGCTTCGACAGGGGTTAT